TGCCACAGTGCAAGGCCTGATGGAGCCAAAGGCCCTTGACCACTGAGGCAGCTCACAGAATCCAGGGGCCTTGCTGACACTCCAGGGCGTCACAGAACCAAAGGAGTCCCAGGAAGGTGCTGAACCTCATGGAATCAAGGGGTCATTGTGACAATGTGACACTGTGACCCTGCAGGGCTATGTGGAGACAAAGGGGCCATTGTGACCCTGTGCAACCTCACAGCACCAAGGGCAATTGTTTGGTGATACTGTATCTGGCTCTAAGTATGTCTCATCACCAACATTAAAACTAACTACTAATCAAACTACAGATGTAAGCATTTTTCACTTGGCGTAAAAAACTTATGGTTATGAGTAAATTGCTTAATTATATCCCATTTTTCAGAAGTGCCTAAGTAATCTAAGTCCTACTAAGGGGACTTAAGGGTTGGGACTTAAGCTCCTAAGTATCTTAGCCAACATTTTTAGAAGTCTGTAACATCCATGCATCCACTAATGTCTCTGGCAATTCCTGAAACCTGGTGCTGCTTAAGAGTACAGAATACTTACTACACGTGCAGTTAAAACAAAGACAAAAGTGAGATTGCAGGTCCAGGTATTTTTTTCCTTAGGAAAGGTTTCATTCAGTAGGCAGACAAGGCCGTACAGAGCAATCCGTATCAATCTCCTTAGGGTAGATTCCTTAGTGTAGTCCATTGCTTTTATGGAATGAAGAAAGGCAAAATAAGTTTAAAAACCTCCTTTTTTTTTAATTTTCCAGTCACCACTTTCATCAGTTTCACCAAATTCAGTCCACTGAGTTCAGCTCTATTCCATCTCTAATGTAAGGGTCGAAAACACGCAGGTACCCCCAAAATACCAGGCAGTGGAAGGACTTAGGAGAATTTATTTTCAAAGTCAAGCACTTAACACATTGGTTCAAAACTGCACCAGGCCTAGGAAAAGATATTCCTGCGGTTCTCAGGGCTTTTATCATTCATGGTCCTCCCAGCCTTCAAACATGTCCATAAGAACTTATTTTTTCTCATGCCAGGGAGAGCTTCTCTGGAATGCAGGAAGAGAAAACATATAAAACTGTTTCTGGCCAAAGACAAAAGTTTTCTTAAGCAAAAGCCCCTAATCTCATAGTAAACTCTTCCGGAAGGGTCTTCTACACTTACACCTACTATAAAATCCTGTCTTCTGTGCAACTGATCTGTCTCTTGCGTAGTATTTGGTCTGTCTTAATGCTATGTGTTTCATATGTGACTAAGCATATTTCACTCTGTATTCAGTATATTGGGTCTGATTTCTAGATTTCTGATTTCTAGATTTCTTTGTGTCATGACTTCAGAGAGGAGTACTGCACAAATTTATTTAGTTTTACTTTTAAATTGATTGAAATTTCATTCCTACACAGGTTCCAGATTTCACTATTACAGACCTGTCTTCAGAGTCAGATGATATCCCAGACATTTTGGATTTGGATGAAGAGGATCAACAAGACTTTTCACGCACAAATGGCCCTTACACTACAGGGCAAAGAGCTGAATAGAGAAGCATAAAAATGTATTTTGATACAA